GAGTGGGGATGGTGGAAGTGTGAAAGCACCAAAAACACATTGTGCTTTCACACACAACATGCTGACTTTAAACAAAATAATAATAATAAAAAAAGAAAAGCTCTGAATCACGTTCCCCCCCAAATCTTAAAAGAACGAACAGATTTCTGGACGTCCTTATCAGGACTTCAAACTCAACTGATCTACAAGGGAAAAAGTTGGCGCAGACAGGTTAAACACCACCTTCCTCTTCATCATAATCCACATGACCAGCTCCCCGTCTAATTATGGTCATTATGGCCCRAAGTTCCAGCTATTATTGAATCAAACACTGCAGCACAAACAGGGAAAGGCCTTTAATTTCTACCCTCCTGACTTCCACAATGGCCACTCACATGACAGGAAGGTGCGGTTTAACCTGCCAATCAGGAGGCACCAAGGTTATTCTGAGCRTCTGAGGAAGGCATGTGGAGGCGGGAAGTTCACTGCATGGGAAGACTGTGCATGAGGAGAAAGCAGGTAGAAGAAGCATTCCTTCCTTATTATTGTTTCGTTTTCCATTGGAGGGGGTGAAAAATCAACTTTGATTCTTATTTTCTGAATGTTTTTATCTTGTTCACTGTTGATTTCTGCACCTAAACAGTTTTCTTCTTCTGCACGCCATTTATGACCAGCTGTGCAAATAGACATAAATGGTTTAATATAAAAAAAAGAAAAACAATTTCACATGTGGAACATCATGCTTTCAGCTGTGAAAACATGTTTTGCACATTTTTCCAGTGTGATTATGGAACTTTTTTAACAGATTTATCACGTGGTTGTATAGTTTTTCATGTGATCTTGTGAGAAAAACACATTTTTGTATGGAATAAATCTTGTGCCAGCAGGAATTGAGCTTGAATTGCTCAGATTGAATCTGAATGTGCAGAATTTGAAATTGAATGCATTGGTTTGAAAATAAAATTCACTAAATTGAGACTAAATTTAATGATTTGAAACTGAATTTAAAGTTTTTAATTTGAATGTATTTGCTTAGAAACTGTATTTTGGTTTATTAAAAATTCAGTTTGACTACTTTCACTTTCAGCTCCATAATTCAGATTTTTGTGTCACATCCTGGTCCTTGAGAAAGCCAGGCAGAGTAATCAAACACAGATCCACAGATTTATGTTTCACTTTGGTGAAGTTTCCCTTCTGGATGTAAAAGAGTTGATGCAATCCACTGTAAAAGAGACAAAAACAGACAAAGTTATTTTATTGCAGTGATTAATTTGACCTATATGTAGAAAATGTTACATTTACATCACATCATGGATCAGTCAGCAGCAGCATCTGATCAATATGTGATCCATGATGTAATGTAAATTAACATTTTCTACATACAGGTCAAATTAATCACTGCAATAAAATAATTGTCTGTTTTTGTCACTTTTACAGTGGATTGCATCAACTCTGTTACATACAGAAGGGAAACTTCAAGTGAAACATAAATCTGTGGATCTGTGTTTGATTACTCTGTCTGGCTTTCTCAAAGGACCTGGATGTGACACAAAAATCTGAATCTTGGAACTGAAAGTGAAAGTAGTCAAACTGAATTTTTAATAAACCAAAATACAGTTTCAAAGCAAATTCAGATACAAAACTTTACATTCAGCTTTAATTTAGTAAAATTTATTTTCAAACCAATGCATTCAGTTTCAAATTATGCACATTCAGATTCAATCTGAGCAATTCAAATTCAGTTCCTGCTGGCACAAGGTTCATCTCATATTTTTGTCTGTAAGAATGGTAGAAAAGACATGAGAGAGCATGAAAGTGTTCCTCACCAGARTCTTGGCCAGGGGACCCATGCCCCTCWCGGTGATTTGATTGTTCCGCAGCAKTAAGACTCTCAGACCTTTTGTCTGTTTTGACAGACCGTCACACAGCTCCTCCAGTCCTGAAAACCACCAACACAGTCCAGTATTTGTTATCCTGCTAATTCATGCTGCTGAGTGCAGGAGTTCAGTTCATTCATAGACTTATTGAACTGGTCAAGTCTGCAGGCTACAGCTGAGAACAAAAGCAACAAACACCTCACCAGCATCTGCCAGAGCGTTGCTGCTGAGCTCCAGAGTCTGCAGAGTGTTGTTGTACTGCAGCAGGTCCCCCAGCTGCAGGGCGTCCTGGAAGCTGTTCAGCAGGTTGTTGGTTAAATGGAGCTCCTGTAAAGCTCTGTTTGTCTTCAGGGCACCGACTGTAGGCAGCAAGACGAGGAAAGAACATCACCATGACCGGAAGCACTGCAGGCAGGGCGAGTTACATCTGCTCAGACATGGGATATTGTTGAGTTAACGCAGGCTGAACCAGCAGAACATGTGTCTTTTTCTTTTCAAAGACCCATGTCCCAAAGGTTTCCTTCTTGTTTAGAAGCATCCTTGTCTGTTTCAAACGCTGCTTTTTTATACGTGAGCAAAGACAGAACAGATGTAAAATAAAGCAGCCAGCATTGTGTTATATGGCATTAGAGCTCATTTAATGAAACGTTTTAACCATTCAGCTGGTTTTAGGTGAGTTTGGTAAGAAATTAAGTTTCTGTAGCTGTGAGGTAAAACCATACAAGAGTCAGAAAAGAGTTTTTGTCCCCCATCACCGAGGGGGACTCAGAAAAGCTCTTAGTCGGTCTGTGTGTCCGTTACAATTTCAGATAGCTGTAACTTTCACATAGAAAGGCTAAAATATACCAAACTTGGTATGAGTTATCCATGTTGCATGCCTGACCGTACCATGTGGTCATATGCTGACATCATCAAAGCCGCGCCCCCTGAAAACAGGAAGTGACTTTTCTCTGACCCTCTTGACCTAATCAGCCACAATAAGTTGATCTCACTTGTTTTCAAGCACAAAGACTTTTGGGTGAAAGGTGTGGCCATGGCAGGGCTGCGATGTGAGACATCATGCTGTTTACATACTTTTGGCTCTAAAACAACATCCGTCCGTCTGTTTTCTTCCTCTTATCCAGGGTCAGGTCTCTGGGGCAGTACCCTAAGCAGAGAGACCCAGACTTCCCTCTCCCCAGCCACTTGGGCCAGCTCATCTGGGGGAATCCCAAGGTGTTCCCAGGCCAGCCGAGAAACATAGTCCCTCCAGTGTGTCCTGGGTCTTCCTCTGGGTCTCCTCCCAGTGGGACATGCCCAGAACACTTCATCAGGGAGGCGTCCAGGAGGCATCCTAACCAGATGAACCACCTCAACTGGCTCCTGTCGACGTGGAGGAGCAGCAGCTCTACTCTGAGTCCCTCCTGGATGRCTGAGCTTCTCAGCCTATCTCTAAGGGAGAGCCCAGCCACCCTGCAGAGGAAACTCATTTCAGCTGCTTGTATCTGTGATCTCCTTCTTTCAGTCACCACCCAAAGTTTGTGACCATAGATGAGGGTAGGAACGTAGACCGACCAGTAAACCGAGAGCTTTACCTTCTGGCTCAGCTCTCTCTTCACCACAACAGACCGGTAGAGCGCTCGCATCACTGCAGACGCAGCATCAATCCGCTTGTCGATCTTCCACTCCATTCTTCCCTCATTCGTGAACAAGACCCTGAGATACTTAAATTCCTCCACTTGGGGCAGGACTTCCTCCCCAACCCAGAGATGGCACGCTACCTGTTTCCGGCTCAAGACCATGGTCTCGGATTTGGAGGCACTGATCCTCCATAAAAATTATAAATAATAGTACAACATATTTCAGCCAATCCTAATCCACTCCACTATAGGAATGCAGTCTAATTTTTGGAGGGCGTGGCCTAATTTCTCACCTACAATTCAAAATCAGCCTCAAGTCATGCTTTGTCCTAGAATCATGAAATTTGGTACACATGTGTAACGTCTCAGGAGCTACAAAAAAGTCTCTTGGAGTCATGATCTAAACCCCACAGGAAGTCAGCCATTTTGGATCAAATCTATGAATTTGTCTCTTTTCTTGCACGTGTATCTGAGCTAACTCCCTCTACAGCTTTGAACCTGCAGACTTCACATGCTGCATGTTTCTCTCTGCACTGACTGGTGGTGGGATGGTGTGGGTGTGGCAGAGTGGTGAACGCTGATGCCTCGCCGTTTGCACACGGTTAGCTCTAAATCAAACATGTGATCAGATCTGCATCAAATTTGGTGTGCACCATCAGGGAGACCCGCTCAACACGTTGGTGTAAGAGTTTGACAAAATAATTTTAGCCCACCGTCTATCCATTCACCTTATGAGATGATTTAAATRATGAAGGCCTGTGATTCCAACAAAACTGCTAACAGCTGGACACTAYTGAATGGCRAYGGGGGACATCAGCGACGGTTGGTGTYGAGTTCTGTCTTGTTGGGTTTTAGATACAAAGAAATGTGAGCACACCCTGACTTCACAGACAAGTGGGACGTATATTTTAATTTAAATATATTTACATTTTCTGTTCTGAAAACTTTACCAATGTGGATGAGAAACAGAAAGCAGGGCTCTCCTGCAGATAGCAGTGAAGAAAGGGTCCTTCCCAATAATCTAACAGCAAAAATTCAATCACAGATGATAAAAACACCTGTCAAATTCCAGAACTCGTGTTTTTTTCTGATTRTCTGAGCCTGAGCTGTGCAGAGGGGTGATGTATTTATGTATTATTTTTCATGTCTTTTGTTTAATTTGTTCTGTGATCTGCTTGTGTCCGTGTTTTCTGGACCCTCGCCGCCCTTCCACCCAGATCGATGGTGCAGATTTGATCAGGCTTGCCGGGCTGCATGCCGAACGCCAACGTTGTCATCAGGCTCAGTGGGAACCAAATGTTGGAGTCGCTGGGATTGATCTGGCCGACTCCACCGCGAGCGCCCAATCCACTCCGATCGAAGGCAATGATCCTCAGCTGGGACCCCCCGCTGGGCTGGAATGTGGGGGGGAGGAGAGTGGCCGGTGGGCCCCATAAAGGCAGGGATGATGGAGAGTGAGTGGGAGGAGGAGGAGGAAGAAGAGGAGGAGGGTGTTTGTCAAAGCTGAAAATATCAAAGTGATCCAGGAAGCGTCTGAAAATGCGGAGGGAAGAGTGGGCAGCATACTGAGTCCATTTGGGTCTGTTCTGCTCCCAGCTGAGAGGAGGCGACCGGTGCTGGGCTCAGATTGGATTTTTATGTCCACATGAAGAGTCACAAACACAAACGGATCCATCATCACATCACTTCAGGACTGAATATAACCAAATACAACAAAATACAAGCTTAAAGGAATAATATAACATTTCCCTGTTGGGCCTTTTATAACTGTAGAGGTCTGACGTGATTTTATTTTCACAAATCATCATCTCAAATAAAAAACATGTTTTTTTCATTACTGATCCTCTGAGTTTAAACGTTAGGGAAAAGCCAAAAGTAGCAGAATAGCTAAAAGTAGAAAAAGGCCAGTTAAAAGTATCAGGCCTGGAACCTTCAAGAAATAATCAAACACACGTATGTAAGTCCATCTCATGTATGCCATCACCTCCTGTGTGTGTGTGTGTGTGTGTGTGTG